GAAAAATTAAGCATATGGTATAATAGTATTCACAATATTAATTTTCTGGTATTGGAATGTAGACTGACTTGTTCAGTTTGTCATTATATCATTAGCTTATTGTAGTTTCTGAAACCAAAGAAAAAATAAGCTAACATACTATCGCCTATAAATTCCCTCAAAGGTTGCCTTCCTATCCTTATAGCAGGCATGTCAAACCTGCGACGTCACGTGATGTCACGTGACATATTGGACTTTTTTCCCCATTGCTGGCAATGGGATGGGCGCGGCTCCGGTATGATGAAACCGGCCCACGGGCCGGCAGTTTGAAACCCCTGCCCTATAGTGTTACTTCATAGAAAACATAAATCTATGTCTTCCTTTTTGCTCCTCCTAATGTGTTGGGGTTTTAACTCTCAGAATTCCCTAGCATAATATAACCACTATTAATGTGCAGAAATCAGATTTGATTTCCTTACAAGTGAATCCTTAGAGAAACATTGAATCAGGCCTGATGATTCACAAAGAGAGCTTAATGGAGGTAGGGAGTAAAATTAATTACATCTGACAGGATTAGGATTAAGGAAGTAAGTATTTTAGTCCCATTACTAACCTTTGTAAAACAAGCTAATAACAAAAGTAAACAAAGGGCTTCCAGTTCTGGTTTGCAGCGTCGCTAGTCGTGCTGGGAGGCTTCTCTCCTCGCCAGCTAGATTTCCTTCTGTCGGTGGACCCTTATAAGGGGTCCAAATTTCCCCTGAAGGGTGCGACTTCCATTGAGGAGTCTACTGTCCGGCTGAGAGGAGCGGCAGCTCCTCCAGCTGTCCAGACAAATCTCCGAGGACCGACGGAGAAGAAGATCGGCCAGTAAAATGGCCGATTGCCCTGCCGCTTCAGACCGTAAGTCAGAGAACATCTAAGCTGTGAGTGCCCCTGTGGTGAGCCCGGGTGAGAACTTTCTTTACAATTCTCTCTTTTCTATTTTTTTCTTTGATACCTTTAAGAGTTTCCCTGGCTTGGAAAGGCAGCTTCTACAATTTTTGGGAAGAAAGGCGTATTGTAAATATAGAAAAAGACTATATTTTACTTCTGTATATATCTCTTTTTTTTGATACAAAAAAGGAAAAAAGACGGAAAAGGTTTTCTTTCTTCTCTCTTTGCAAGAACTGTATTATTTTTTTCTTACATATTATATTTCAAAAGACAGAAAAAAGGAATTGATTTTTGCAAAAGACCTTTCTTAACCTACTGAGGACATCTAGTGGCAAAAGTTTAATACTGCAATTTCAGTTTATTTTCTTAAAGATGGAACACTGAACTTCAAAATACTTTTGAGGATTAGATAAGCTGTGCAGCTGTGGAAGCTGTGGGGGTGGATGTTGTTTGCATTAAATATAGCCTCCACAAAAAAGAAAACAAGATCTTCTTTTAAGCATTAGTATTAAAATGGAGAAACCACAGCTACAATTGAACTGTGTACTCATATTGGAAAAGATCTTTGAGGCCACTGCAGAAATATGTGCTACAATTAAAAACTATACTTTAGAATTAAGATCCAGAGATTCTACTACACCTGTTCAAATTGATGTCCAGGCTACAGCAGACTACGGTATAAATCAAAATATACCAGGAGAGGAATCCATAGAAATAGAAGAGGAACTTATTTCACCTGACAACCATTTCTTCTGCAACTTAGAGAATCAGAAGAAGCAAAGACTAAGATCAGAAATCATAAAGCAACAATGCTGCAAGAAGAAGAGAAAAAGATGTCTATTGCAGAGGAAGGAATTTATATTTCCTCAAAGACTACTACAAGCAACAAAAATGGATCTACTGGCTGAAAGGGAAGCGTTGCTATGTAAGCCTGCGTGGCATAGAAAAAAAACCAGAATTAGACTGAAAAAGAAATTTAAAATTGTTTAATGGATTAAAAGGCAATGCTGGTTTTATGGATTGTTTTAAGGATAATGATTTTGATTTAGAAGTAAGAAAAATACAATTATATATATATATCTGTGTTTAATTTAGTTAGATGATTTTTTTTTGCTTTATGAAAATTTATTTGGTACAGAAATATGAAAGTTAAATTTGGAGTGAAAAAAGAAACTTGGTTTTATGGATTGTACTAAGGATAAAAATATATAATATATATGTGTGTGTGTGTGTATGTATATGTATATATATATGTATGTGTGTGTGTGTATATATATATATATATATATATATATATATATGTGTGTGTGTGTGTGTGTGTGTGTGTGTTTAAAGAGATTAAGAATGTATTCTTTGGAATAATAGATTGATTTTCAGGAAAATTATGTATTGAAATTGAAAAAAAGGTTGAGTTTTTAGACTGGAACTTTGAAGTGTTTAATTAACTAGGAGATTTTTGTGTATAATAATATGATTTGATAAGCTATGATAATTAATTGGATGGAATTTGAAGTTTGTGTAATGAATTGAAATGAATTAAGGTGTAACATTGTTTTTTTAAACTAAGTTAGTATTGGAAGAAGAAATAAATGAGATTGGTGATAAAAGAGGGATGAGAGAGATTAAGAGTTTGAATATATTTGGAAGAGATACGTGAAGTGATAATTTGTTGATCTAAAACAATATTTGGTTATGGTAATTGTAAATTGATAAAGTTTTAAAACAAGTTTAGTAGTAATAGAAATGGAATATATTTAATCTATTATGTTATTTGAGGGAAATAGAGAGATGACAGTGAATGTACTAAGTTGAGCTGTTTATGTATGTTTTTATTTTGGGATGTTTGTTTACCCAAACAACACAGTGTGTCTTAAGTACTCTTTGTTAAAATTAAAAAACCAATAAAATATATTTTTAAAAAAAGTACACAAAGCAAGCCTCCAAGTTATAAAATGCTGTAAAACTGTATAAAAATCCTTGTACTCATCAAATCAGTTGGTCAGTTGCCCCAGAACTATATGCTGTTGTGGTTCTGCAACTCAATAAACTGGACCTTCTTTCCTAAAGCAGTCTCCATTTTCTTATTCCCAGCTTGGATTGGACCTGATGATTTTTCTTTCAACAGCCTAGAAGGGATATTGGAAGTCTTCTACTCTAATCCCCTGCCCAGGGCAGGAATTCTTATATTATCCGTGGCAAATGAATGTGCAAGCTTCTTGAAAGCCTCCAGCAATGGAGCATCCACAACTCTGGGAGGCAAGTTGTTCCGTTAGTTAATTGCTTTCACTGTCAGGAAATTTCTTCTTAGTTCCAGGTAAGATCTTTTTTACCTAACTTCTACCCATTGCTTCTTGTCCTTGTGCTTTGGAGCATATGCCAACCCCCTCTTCTCTTGACAGCCCCTCAAGTACCTGAAGACAGTTATCATGTCTTTGATAGCCTAGACCAGGGGTGTCAAACTGCTGACCCGCAGGTCAGTTGCATCATGCGGAGGCCGCACCCACCCCAGCTCCAGCAATGCAAAAAAAGTTGTGATACATTGCAACACGTCATGTTATGCAGCGAGTTTGACACCCATGGCCTAGACATACCTAGTTCCCCTAAGCATTCATTATAAGGTTTAGCTTCTTATCATCTTTGTTACTCTTTTTGGCACCCTTTCTAGGATCTCATCATGATGTAGCATGTATCATGAAGACTAGAATTGGATGCAGTATTCTAAATGTGGCCTTACTAATGCAGTATAGAGTGGTACTATCACTTCTTGCAGATGCATGTTGATTTCCTTACAAATGAATCATAAGAGAATATTTCTAAAACCCATGCTAAGAAAAGCTTTCAGACAAAAAACTATAAGAAGCAGATTTGGCTATGTTGAATAGAGTAGAGCAGAGTGGAGTGGAGTAAAACAGAACAGAATATAAATTATTATTGTCACTTTAAATGTACACTAATCAGCATACATTAAAATGAAATTTATAAAGATTTGGCTATGTTGGAAGAAAGACTATGGGCTCATTTAAAATGTTATCCCCATTGTGCCTGAAACTGACTATTAAATCAGAAGGTATGTCATTCACAATGACATTGTTATGCAAATGACATAAAATTATGTGAACACAATGAGAGCCCAGCTCCTGTATCTGTTATATCAAAGTCCAATAAATCAAAGTTTTATTATATTTTAAAATCATAACAGCAAATAACTATTTAAGACTGTCTCAGAAATGGTGTAGAGATGAGATGAAGAACATTTATGGCCAAAAAGAAGTTGCTTATATCACAAAAGGATTTTCTTTTAAATATTTACACTGTTCCCCACAGTTCATCTGCTAATTTCATAGTGTCAGCATTGCCAGTCTTTATCCCTCATTCCAAAGTACTGGATGTCAACCAATCAACCTTTTCTAACATTTTCCCAATAAAAAGATCTGGAGATCTCAAAACTTGTTTATATTTGTGATGTCTCCATTAGCCTCATAATTATTTTATCTTCAGAATGATTTTGTTTATATTTATCTGTTCAATTTACATCACAGCTTTCTTCCAAGATCTCAGAAAAGCACTATCTGCACTATTATTTACCTCTGGCAATAGCCTTCTAATGTAAGTGGACTCATGACTGATCAAAAGCACAGAGAACTTTACACTTTTTCTGCAGCTGCTTCATTTTTGTTAATTATGGAAGGCTATTTTAAGAAGATCAGGGGTCAGAATATGCCAGCTTTTCCTCATTCCCCCCCCCCCTTTTATCTTCACAATCACTATCCTGGAAGCTGGAAACAAGCTTGCTCATCTTGGTTCAGTCATAATGAAGTTTGTTTGCTCTTATTTTAGTATGCAATATGTGAACCTGGTTAATGAATGACTCAGAGAACTTCTGGGTTGACTGAAATTGGCTTTCAAGTTGTCTTCGGATTCATATTCGAACACTTCGCCAGTACACCAAGTCGCCTCTGAGTTTCGTGGGCATCCCTCTCTAAAACACAGATGTCGCTTTCAGTGGTAATAAACTGGTACTTGGACCTCTCTTGCTCGCACATTAGCAGTCCAATTCTTCCAGCGGGCTTCCCACGTGCGTCGCTCACCTTTATTCTTCCCCATGCTTTCAACACTCGCTGTATTCCCGCATGTAGTTGGTAACACGGCAGCAGCAGAAAGGTGCGGATTGCTGGCTTTCTCCGGGCCCGGCACTGAGCGTCCCAAGCATAGCGCCTGGCTCACCAAGACACGGCGCTTCACGACAGCAGCTCCGACGTCACGGGAGGCTTTTTTACATCACGAGTCCGGGATTCTCTCCCAAGGCCTTACAGCCGCCGCCGTCCTCCTCCCGGTGGACATCCGGACGACCGTAGCTTCTCGGCGAGCCCCTCCAAAGTCTGCTCATATGTCATATAACTCCTGAGAGAATGTGCACTTCGCCGAAGCATACTTCCCTTCGTTAAACTCCTTCCCAGCGCCTCTAGAGGACTAGCTGTTGGGCAGGGCGGACGGAAAAGCCGGAAGGCGGGTTGACTTAACTGGGCGCGAAGCAGGGCAGAAGCTGCCATCGCGCTAGCATTCAGCCAGATACTCACGCATACGCACACCCACACCACACCACACCCAGGCCTTGTTCGAAGGCAGGGGACGGCGCTCTTGGACGTCTTCAGTAACTTAGCCTTAAACTTTTTGAGGGGTGGGAGGCTGAGAGTAACGCCTCATGCGTTTGCAGCGGTTCAATGGATCAATATTTTTCATTCAAGGTAGCAACACTTGTGATGTACAAAAGAATGCTAAGGCTACAGACATTGATGGGCAAAAAAATTATACTGAAGGTAGGATACCCTGGAGGACTCAGATGAACCTTTGGCCCTCAGATTCCGGGGAGTGTTAAAGGAATGATCTTCTGATCTTGAGGACAGGATTAGGTTCATTTTCAAATGCAGGTCAGCAGTCCTCTTGGTTGAATGCCTGTTTCTGGGAATCACCTCAGGCTCCACCCGCTCCCCATCAAAATGAATAGACCATACTTACTCTTGGTCTTATTTTTGTAAAAAGAAATATAATTTCATATGAAAAATATTGAACAAAAAAATATTGAACACAAATTCAATTTTAAAAGAATATAAGAAATATTGTAAGGAAGGAAAAAAGAAAAGATAGTATAAGCAGTAAAAGATTAAAGGATAAATAATAACTTCTGAATAATTAACAGACTTTAAGTATGATATGGCTAATATGTGATTAACAATTAGAATTGACAAAAAGAATAAGAAAAACTATAAATAATAAACAACACTTAAAATAACTGTAAATCACATGTAGACAAATAATGTTCTCATCCGTACTCCCAACGAAAGGCCAACACCCATTGAAGGAAAAAAGAATTCTAGAAATAAACCATTAGCTAAAGGGTTGGTATTGCCAAGAAAACTTTGGTTTCCTGGATCATGGACTGCATTTCCTACGCGAAGGATTTTTGGCAAGGGATGGGGTGCCCTCACTAAAACAGGGGGGAAATGTACTCAGAAAAAAACTGGCCCAACTCATCAGGAGGGCTTCAAACTAAAATTGAGGGGGAAGGATGACCAATCTTTAGAATCTCTAGAACCCAAAACCAATCATAAATCAAAAGTAACAGGTCTACAAAAAGAGGAGGGGGAGTTGCACTATATATAAGAGAACACTACATATCTACAGAAATGCACATGAACCAAGATAAAATTCCTCCAGAATGTATATGGGTCAATATAAAAGAGAAAAAAAGTGACATTACCATAGGTGTATATTACAGGCCACCCAACCAATCAGAATAGATGAACTCTTTGCCAACCAGTTAACAAATGTATGTAGGAAGCATATCACAGCAGTAATGGAAGACTTCAACTCTCCAGATATAAACTGGGAGGGGAGATCAAATAGATTCCTGACCAACCTAGCTGACAATTTTGTCATCAAAAGGTGGAGGAGGGAACTAGACATAAAGCCATACTGGACTTAATTCTAACTAATAGAGAAGAAGTGATGGAGTTACCGGTACCTTAGGCGAAAGTGACCACATCATACTGAAATTTAATATAATGCAAACACTAGCAACAGAAAACAATCCAACCAGTGTCTTGAACTTCAAAAGAGATGACTAACAAACTCAGAGGGCACTTAGGAAAGATTCCATGGATGAAAATACTAAAGGGGAAAACAACCCAAGTAGTGTGGGAAACTCTGAAAAATGCGATCATAAAAGCCCAGACAAGCACAATATCACTGAAAAAGAAAAACAAGAAATTCAAGAAGAAATCAGCATGGCTACATAAATAACTCTCTGACAAACTGAAAGACAAAAAGGACAAATACAAAAAATGGAAAGAGGGGCACATAACTAAGGCCGATTATCAGCAGACAGCCAGAACATGCAAAGATGAAGTCAGAAAAGCAAAGGCTCAGAACGAACAAAAACTTGCAACACAAATCATGGCTAATAAAAAAAGTTTCTTCCAACATATTAACAACAAGAAAAAAGTCAAGGAAACTGTAGGTCCACTAAAGAGAGACAATAGCAAGAAAATAACAGGCAACTGGGAGAAAGCAGAGTTGCTTAACTTATACTTTGCATCAGTCGCCACACAAAAAGAATCTATAGCCCAACATACCAAAAAAACACTGCAAAAGACAAATTCGAAACAAAAATTAAAATAAGCAAGAAAATTGTAAGAGAACACCTATCTGACCTTGATGAATATAAATCATTGGGGCCTGACAGATTACATCCCAGCATTCTGAAGGAGCTGGCAGATGTTATCTCAGAACCATTGCACCACATCTTTCAAAAATCTTGGAGCACCGGGGAAGTACATGAGGATTGGAAAAGGACTGATGTGGTTCCCATCTTTAAGAAAGGGGGGGGGGGAAATGGACCCAGGAAACTACAAACCAATCAGTTTAACATCAATACCTGGAAAGATCCTAGAAAAGATAAACAAAAAACAGATCTGCAAACAACGAGAAGCAAACAAAGTTATAACCAGTAGCCAGCACGGGTTTGTTGAAAACAGATCATGCCAAACCAATCTTATTTCATTCTTCGGCAAAGTGACTAAACTAATAGACCAGGGAAATACTGTGGGCATAGTATACTTATACTTCAGTAAAATAGACCATAACCTACTCCTTAGTAAGCTAGAAAAAAGGTGCAATAGACAACATCGCCACCAGATCAATCTGAAGCTGGCTAACAAACCATACTCAATGAGTAATCCTCAAGGGCATTACATCCACATGGAGAGAAGTAAGCAATGGGGTACTACAAGACTCCGTCTTAGGCCCAGTACTTTTCAATATCTTCATCAATGACTTAGATGAGGGAATTGAAGAGGAACTCATCAAATTTGCAGATGACAGCAAACTGACAGGAGTAGCCAACACCCCAGAAAACAAACTCAGGATCCAAAAAGATCTTGACAAACTTGAACAATTGGCCTGTCCAACAAAATGAGTTTCAATGTGGAGAAAAGCAAAGTTTTACATTTAGGCAGGAAAAAAACAAAGGTACAAGTACAGATTGGGTAATACTTGGCTTAAAAACAGTAACTGTGAGAGGGACCTTGGAGTCCTAGTGCAGGGCTTTTCAACCGGTAGTACGCGTACCACTAGTGGTACATTGGCACCTGGCAGATGGTACGCATACAACGGATTGAACAGCACTGTAAAAGAAATGTAAAAAAAGTGTAAAAGTGGATGAGGTGAAGTGGCAGCAGTACCGCACAGGCTTGTGGGAAAGTCAGCTGGAACTGCACATTGCCTGGGTCCTACTGAGAGCCCAGGATCAAAGCATGCACTCCAGCTGATTGGCAGCAGCTTTGGGGGTGGCAGGCAGCCTGATGCAGTTTTTGGGTGGAGATTCAGCTGGAGCTGCAAGAGGCATTGCCTGGGTTCTGCTGAGAGCCCAGGATCAGTGCACCCAGCTGCAGCTGGTTGGGGGTGGCAGGCAGCTTCGTGCAGTTTTCAGGCAGAGATTCGCTGAAGTTGCATGAGGCATTGCCTGGGTCCTGCTGAAGGGGACAGAAGAGATGATATTAAAGGGGGTGGGGAAAGATATTATATTAAAGGGGGTGAGGGAAGAGAAGATATTAAAGGGGGTGAGAGAGGACTACTGTACTTTATCACTTTTTTCTGTTTTTTTTTGTCATAAAGTTTTTGACACCTTGCTAGGCAACTGGTGGTACTCGAATATTGCTGTATTCTAAAAGTGGTACAATCGGTGAAAAGGTTGAAAAGCCCTGTCCTAATGGACAATCACTTGACTATGAGCCAGCAATGTGCAGCAGCAGCCAAAAAAGCTAATACAATCCTGGGCTGTATAAACAGAGTACTAGAATCAAGATCACACAAAGTATTAGTACCGGTTTATAAAACCCTAGTAAGACCACGCCTGGAAAACTGCAGCCAATTTGGTCACCATATCACAAAAAAGATGTTGAGAGTTTGGAAAATATTCAGAGAAGAGTAACTAAAATGATCAAAGGCCTGGAGACTAAAATATGTAGGACTTAGTTTGGCTAATCTAAAGAAAAGAAGAAATAGGGAAGAGATGATAGCAGTATTCCAGTATTTGAGGGGCTGCCACAAAGAAGAGGGGGTCATGTTATTCTCCAAAGCACCAGAGGGCAGGACAAGAAATAATGGCTGGAAAATGATCAAAGAGAGAAGCAACCTGGAATTAAGGAGAAACTTCCTGACAGTAGAACAATTAACCACTGGAATAGCTTGCCCCCAGAAATTGTGGGAGCTCCATCACTGGAGATTTTTAAGGAGAGATGAAACAGTCACTAGCCTGAGATGGTATAGATTCTCCTGCTTGAGCAGGGGGCTGGACTAGAAGGTCCCTTCCAGCTCTATTCTATTCTAGACTATATATTAGATTAAAATATAGACTCTAAAATTCACATTTATGATGTAGCACAATTTCAGTGTTTAGAATGAAAGTTCAGAAATGGCTTCCAGATAAGATTAAATTGCACATCAGATTTTTGAAATATGAAGTTATTCTAGACATTGAAGCATATGCCTATTTAACCTTGCATATAGGTGGTCAGAGATTTTTTTCCAATAAAAACATAATATTTTTGCAGCTTTTCTATACAACGCCAATTGAATATATTTTGAAAAAATTTGTGGTTTGGTGAAGTTCAGTAAAAATGTCTCTAATTTGGAATGGAACTATAATTTTCAAAATTTCCTCTTTCTAAGTCTAAACCATTAGTCTGACTTTGTTCTGTCTCTCTTCATCTGCATTATGATGAATATATGACATAGTCGCTGTCCCACAAAGTTCCTATTGTTTCTCCCTTACCTTCATTGGTAAGAATTAAGCCCATTACAATTGTCCCTCTAGTTCCCTTCTCTACCTTTTGTATGATAAAGTTGTCAGCTAGGCATATTTGGAACCTATTCAATCTCCCACTTCCTGCAGACTTTGTTTCTTAGTTGATGTGAGAATAAAGTCCCCCATTACTACAGTGGTGTTTTTCCTGCATATCTCACCTAACTGATTAGCAAAAATGTCTTCTATTTCCTTTGCTTGGTTGGATGGCTTATAATACACATCTATAGCAAAGTCATTTCCCCCCTAATATTTACCCAAACACTTTCAAGAAGGTTTTTATCCTTAATGTTGTGCATTTCTGTAGAGTTGTAATAATTCCTTACATAAAATGCAACCTCCCCCTTTTGTTGGGCCTGTTTCTTTTGAAGAATTTATATCCTTTTGTGTGTTCCAATCATAGGTTCCATCCCACTAAGTTTCAGTGGGATAGCAACAATACCATACTTGCCCTCATATACTAGGATTTCAAATCTCTGTTCCCCATACTATGAATATTGGTATATAGGCATCTGAGTCCTTTATGGTTGACCCTGGATTTTCTTCCTATGTCTTCTGATTTGTACTTGCATGGCCCTTCTCTCTCACCATATCTTTTCTCATTGGCCAGTTTGTTGTGTTGGGCTCTATGCTTTGGGTTTAGTCCTAAAATTTGGTCTCCTTCCCTCCCTATTTTAGTTTAAA